CCCCTTTCTCTCTCCGTCTCTTTCGTTTTTTAATACCTGGCGTGCGACAACCGGCCTTCACCGATCTCGTCGTGCAGAGGTTTCACGTCGAGCCTCGAGGCAAAACAATCGCTATCGGTTAATTAAAATATAAAAGGCCTTGAGAACTTTTTAAAGGAGCTATTTAAGGCGGCCCCTGCACCGCCCGTGTCTCCGCCCGGGCCGTTTGTGTTTCTTATGAGGACTTTTTCAGACTTGACTACAAGAGTATAAGCTAAATAGTCTTGATCAAGGAAAAAGGGAAGCTCTTGTAGAATATTTTAGTTTTTCTGTCAGTGTGTTTTCCTTTCTTACTTTTCTTTCCTCTTTTTTTTAACCATGTGACCATATATGATGACTCTATCTTCAATATGAGAAAAGACACAATTTGAAGAAAAATCTGTAAGAACTAATGTATTATTATTATTATTATTATTATTATTATTATTATTATTATTATTATTATTATTATTGGTGTTGTTGTTGCTGCTGCTGTTGTTACCGATTACGACAGAGAAGGAGACGCATGTAGTAACAGATGGGAGGAAAAATAGTTGCTTAATTAAACTGCAGAGTCAATCTCGGCGTCCCAGCGTCTGCACGGTCACTGTCTGCACTTTAATAATATCAGGGAGTCGCTTTGGTTACAGTTACAGCTGAGTAGAAAAAAAAACCCATCCAAAACAAGACTGATTAGGGCTTATGTCTGCTGTGGGTTGCAGCCCCCCTCTTCCTGTGTGTTGGCTGGTTTGTTTTGAATGGCAGGAAATCTGACAGACAGAATAATTCTCCTCTCCTTCTTTAGTTTTCCCCTCCTCTCTCCTTTATTTCCTTCTTTGCTCCTCTTCAGGCAGTGGCCACAAGCTTTGGCTTCTGCTCTCTCTCCCTCTCTCTCTCTCTCCTTTTTTTTAAAGTCTTATACGTCTATTACTTCCCGGTTGGCCTAAGGGCAAGACAGCTATAGATTGCGTCTTTCTGTATATTTAAAGTCATTATAGCTTGGATTTTGATTCATGCGGCTCTGTACACCTGTAACTGTTTTATGCTTTGTTATCCTATAAAAGGTGCAACCTGCTTTAAAATTAGAGAAGGTAAA